TGGTGTGATTGCAGCATTAGACTGTAAATTGTGGTGAATAATTACGATTGTGCTGTAATTTTTTACATTTCAATTGTAATTATTATTTACAGTGCGCTTGTAAATTAGTTTTAGTGGCAACCAAAATTGGCAGTAAGTTACAGTAAATTTTGGTCACACTTGTGGAAATATAAATTTCTATCAACTAATTCCAAATGAAAAATAATCTACGTATAACTGAAAAGTTATATTCTCTGGTTTTTAATTATATAATTTCATTAACATCCCAGCCAGGAGGGACATTTAACCTTTATCTCTCTGACTAAAGGCTAAGCCAGTGATGCAAATGCTTTAAACGACTCTGTCTTTGTCTTCGGGTGTTGCTTTTATGCTACAGAAACCCTATGTTGATTAACTTGTGTGGTCAGTAGCTGGGCTGTTTTTTAACACCTATGCCATGCTGACTCCAACTCTTAATTTGCATGCTCTGTTTAGCCATATCCCCTCCTCCTAAGAACACAATATAGCCATGAAATCTTTGTCTCAATTCAGACTAATTCAGACGTGTGTGAGACTAATTCAGACGTGTGTGAGACTAAGTCAGACTTGTGAAAGAACTTGCAGACTGCGGACCTCTAGTAGGTTCTTGCAGACACATTGGACATTTTAAAGACGCTGTATGACTGCAGATTAACCAACACGTCTCAATAAAGGAATTCTGCTTGTTTCGAGTCTCCTGGACTGGGTTCTCTCTTCTCTTTTCAACTCATTTTTTTTTTTTTTACAACAACTTGGTGCCGTGAGCCGGATAGAGACAGAAATCCTCAAATTCTCAACAATTTGCCACAAAAGACTGAAATCCACCTGGAATTCAACTTGAACCTTCAAGATCAAGGAAACTTCTTCAGACGGAATCTTCAGCTCAATGGCAATTTGAAGTCACTCAGCGGACGTCACAAATTCTCAACTATTTGCTGACTACAACCCTGATGAACATTAAAGCTACCTGAATACAAAGATTAGATCACTCCAGACTGAATCTTTTCAGCTCAACCTCGATTTGGTGAGTTTCACTCTATCAAAAGAACCATACAGACCAGTCTATACACATGGTTATTCTCTGCTCCATCAGAGAAAAGTTAACAAACAGCTGCAGGGTTTGTTTAACAAAAAGTTATCCTCTATTTCAGTAGAGAAGTAACAGTTTATCCTCTGTTCAGACAGAGAAGTAAAGCCTTACGTGCTATTTTCTTTTAAAAAGTTATCCTCTTTTCAGAGAAGTTAAGCCTTATGCGCTATTTTCTTTTCTTTTATTTTGTTTTCCCTCTGTTCAACCAGAGAAGTTTAAGTTTAGCTATACAAGCTAATTTATGTTATCTCTTGTTCAGGCAGGAAGTTTTAGCAACATGTGCTAATATTATTACCCTCTGTTTCGCCAGAGAAGAAATTACTACACTTTCATCTGAAAAGTTTTAGTATTTTTACTTTGTGATAATAAGCTCACAAAATGTTCAGACAGAATACAAGACTGATCACTACAACTGAAAAAGGTAGTTTAAAAACTCCTTTATTGTCAGATCAGGATTTCAAATCGCTGCTACGACAGCACATGGACTCAATAACAGAGTCAGTCAGACTAAATTTGACAAAGAAATTTAGCATTGACCCAGATGATGTTTGGACATTAGATGAATGCAAGAAAGTGCTTGATGCATGCATTCGCAAAAACAATGTAAAAGGCATTATCTGCTGCTACAGAGAATTCAGTTTATCTCGAGCTAAACAACAAGTTCAAGCTAAATCTGAATTAGAAAAACAGATCCAAGAGCTTCATGCTAAAATAACCTCATTAACAAAACAACTGAACCTAAAGAAATCAAAAACTGACATTGAGAAGGTTAGTCAGCCTGATAATAAACATCCAGACTTACAAATTGTCTCTGAAACAGACATTTCCATCCAGTCAGATAGCGATTTACCTATAGGCTCAGTAGAGGTTTGTGGTGCCAGAAGATCTAAGAGAACTGAGAGTTCACACAACAACACTCCTGTTGTTCAAATTCAAACAGTTTCCAGAACACTAGGACCTAGAGAAATAGACAGATTATCTCAAAGCTTACCATCAGCACGCACAAATTTTTCAGAGTTTAGCAGAGCACTAATCAGCAAAATGCGTCTTTATGACATGACATTAACAGAAGTCACCCAGCTAATGTCTCAAATTCTCACTGAATCTGAATTCAACAGTTTTGAGCATACTGTGACCTCTAAACTACAACATGCCAGTAAGGATGATTTGAGAGAGGGTGTTTTGAAAACTCTAAAGAACATTGTTGGCCCAAAGATCGACTGGTCAAAAGTGACTTGTTGTGTGCAAAGGAAAGATGAATCTGTGAATGAATTCACTGAGAGATTTTGTCAATCCGCCATAACTTACAGTGGATTAGCTGATAATTCGGACAGTGTGCTAGATGATAAGGGACCCCTAGTCCGCATCTGGTCAGATGGCCTTGCAACTGAATACAGACAAGCTTTGCCATTTCTTAATATCACCTGGTCTTCCACCACTCTCAGAAATAATATGAACAGTTTAGCTTTGTGGGAAAGAGACTCTTACATCAAAGACAGAGTCAGATTTGAAGCAGCCGCCACTAAGGTCAACACAGAAAAGACATCAAATCACAAATGTCTTAGGAAAAATATCTGTTGTCATTACTGTGGTAAAAAAGGACATTGGATGAGGGAGTGTAGAAAGAATAAAAAGAACTTTAAAGAGATGAACAGGGTAAATCAACTTCTGAACAGTTTGCTAAATGCCCTCAACACACCCCTCCCCTCATCACTAAATCCATTGAGCTGTCCACAAAGATGCTAACCATTTTTTGGCTGTAAGTGCTTAATGTCCCAGTTCATTTACAATTAAGATGAAAGACTCTTTGTAAAAAGACACAAAGGAAACTTCTTCCTTTGTATTAGGGAACTCTGCTTAAGTCCACTTACAGCCTTGAATGTGTTTTAACACATTTTCCAATCACTACCCATTCAATGTTATGATGTCTGATAGGACTGATATTTGTTGAATGATAGTTTGTGTCTCACATTTTAAAGTTTGCCCACCACACTCAGGGACAGAACAGGACACACAAACCAGTGAGGAGCCCAGGGCAGAACTGAAAGCAACAGGCTTCAGGGGCCGCACCCTGTGGTGAAGACTCCCTTTTTCCCCATTTATCCTCACCTCACTGTTTTATAGGTGTCATAACTTTAAGATTAGGAGACAGAAAATACACAACACTATACGATCACCAACTTAACACAACCACTATACGATCACCTGAATAACTAGACACATGAACTGTGTGATCATACAAGTCTATGCATGAATACTGCTGGTCTGCTGTTTCCTTGTTTTCTTGTGTGCAGGTTAACCCATAAACACTGCATCTTCTCAAGAAACACTGATCTAGAGCATCACTACGAAGATCCATGAATGACAGGAAGTCATCAGATCAACTCTGTGCTGGAGAAGAACCAAAAGAAACACACCTCACAAAAGACTGAACACTATTCACAAGCCATGGACTTTCAGAAGATCTACAGTTTAACTACATGATTTTTTGTGTCATCATGTAGGATTTATGACATTACAACTGATTGTCATAAACGTGTGAACAGTTTTAGAAATCTACACTTACATCTACGTAGATATTGAAATGACACAGAATAAGTTAAATGTGCCAGTAACTTTTTAAGTTACATGACTAGAAGATGGGGCTTCTGTTATCAAACAGAAGCCATTGAATGGTTTTAGGAAAGCTTACAAATTTATATTTTTTTGTGAGAGTTTTAAATAACTCTCAAAGGGGGAACTGTGGAAATATAAATTTCTATCAACTAATTCCAAATGAAAAATAATCTACGTATAACTGAAAAGTTATATTCTCTGGTTTTTAATTATATAATTTCATTAACATCCCAGCCAGGAGGGACATTTAACCTTTATCTCTCTGACTAAAGGCTAAGCCAGTGATGCAAATGCTTTAAACGACTCTGTCTTTGTCTTCGGGTGTTGCTTTTATGCTACAGAAACCCTATGTTGATTAACTTGTGTGGTCAGTAGCTGGGCTGTTTTTTAACACCTATGCCATGCTGACTCCAACTCTTAATTTGCATGCTCTGTTTAGCCATATCCCCTCCTCCTAAGAACACAATATAGCCATGAAATCTTTGTCTCAATTCAGACTAATTCAGACGTGTGTGAGACTAATTCAGACGTGTGTGAGACTAAGTCAGACTTGTGAAAGAACTTGCAGACTGCGGACCTCTAGTAGGTTCTTGCAGACACATTGGACATTTTAAAGACGCTGTATGACTGCAGATTAACCAACACGTCTCAATAAAGGAATTCTGCTTGTTTCGAGTCTCCTGGACTGGGTTCTCTCTTCTCTTTTCAACTCATTTTTTTTTTTTTACAACACACTTTACAATAAGGTTCATTAGTTAATGTTAATTAATGCATTTACTAACATGAACTTACAATGAACAATACATTTACTACTGTATTTGTTCATCCTAGTTAATGTTAGTTAATGAAAATACAGTAGTTCATTGTTAGTTCATGTTAACTCATGGTGCATTAACTAATGTTAACAGGCATGGACTCGGATGTTAATAATGCATTAGTGAATGTTCAATTATGATTAATAAATGCTGTATATGTGTTGTTTATGATTAGTTCATGTTAGTAAATGCATTAAGTAATTAACCTTATTGTAAAGTGTTACCTAAATTTTATATTAATGTAAAATGATGTAAAAACTTTACATTAAAAATAAACATTTTCACATAAAATTAACTCCTGTTAAGTTGTCTCCCCCAAAATAAATGCAAAAATTGTGATTTTTCAGCTCATTTTAAATAAGCACTTTAAACAAGCAATGATTTATTTTGAGTGTATGTGCTGTATAATATTCTGTGGATAATTATGTGGCTTATTGCATAAAGAAAAATGAAGCGATTGATCCGCACAGTGCATAGAAAAATATATTTTTTGTGTTTTTATTTTGATTATTTAGAAAAAAAAAGCATTGACAATAACATGCAGGTCTTCAGATATTTGACTAAATGCTTTGTTTTAGGCTCATACAGTTTTGTTCAGAAATCATATTTTTGGCATTATGGCTATAATATGGAAATTCAAGTTCATTGTATTATATTTTTCTCTTTGTGTGTGTGTGTGTGTGTGTGTGTGTGTGTGTGTGTGTGTGTGTGTGTGTGTGTGTTGAGGCTAAAACAAATGTAGGATTTCTCTTTAAAAACATATATTAAATACCTACTTAGTGCTGTTTTGTTTAAAAAAAACAATTTGAATCAAAATGCAAAAATATTTTTGTTAGAAAAAGCACAAGGATTCATTTAAATAAAGCGTTTGGTTAACAGGTAACATGCTTAAAATGTATTTGGAGTCTTATAATACTATCTTAAAGTACTCTCTTATCAAATGTTAATAGTTTAAAATGAAAACAATGTCAATTTAACAGTTCCTTTCTTGTTCTTATTCTAATAAACGTGTGATTAGCATACTTACACATAAGTTACAGATATAAAAGAAAACAAATACAGTGATGGTGTTAGTAGTTTTGCAGTTATACAGATACTGTATTGAATAATGTGTCACAGTCAGGCCTGTGTGTAGATCAGTTCCACTGGCATGAGCAGTCCATGGGCTCCTGGTAGTAATAGTCCACCGTTGTGGCGTTTCGAGTGCAGTACAGCTGTATGATGCGGTTCTGAAGGCCGTTTTCTCGGCAGCACTTGCAGAAACGTGCGTGACTGTTAATGTTGAAGTTAAAGATGGTGGCGGATGGACATTTGCCATCGCATGAGTACACGGTCACCTGAGGGGAAAGAGACATTATTAGCCCTCCTGTGAATTTTAGTATTCTTTTTCAAATATTTCCCAAGTGCTGTTTAACAAAGAGAGGAAAATTTCACAGTATTGCCTATAATATTGTTTCTTCTTGAGAAAATCTGATTTATTTTAATTTGGCTGGAATAAAAGCAGTTTTTAATTTTTTTTATTATATTTTTTAAGGTCAATATTATTAGCCCTCGATTGTCTACAGAACAAACCATTGCCTAATTAATCTAGTTATGCCTTTAAATGTCATTTTAAACTAAATACAGTACTAGTTTACTGCAATATAACTGGTAAAATATTATGGGATTAGTTATTGGAAATTGGCTAATAAAAGAGAATGAGGCTAGAGGTCTGCAATTCTGCGGCTGTACCGCGTGACCGGACCAGATTTCTTGTGGCGCAGGAATACATTTCCTGCGGTCGGTAACTCTGGTGTAATTTGAATGGGAGCGGGCAAGCTAATAATATAGATCCTGATAGTTCCTGAGTCCCGATGTTATTTCGGAACAGCATGTCTGTGATTTCCTCATTCTTATTGAGCACTGGTACACACTGTTACACATGCTAAACGTATGGCCAGTGCTATCTGCACGTGCTTTTTATCCACACAGTCTGTGCATGCATCATCTGCATAACGGTCCTCCTCAGAGCGAATTTTACGAACAGGGCAGAACGAAGTGAAAATGCGCTGTTCATCAGCTTGCATTAGAAAACGGTCAGTTTACTGTTAGGAAACTCACTTCAGGGAAGTCTGATGTCTTTTACCCTGTCTAAATTACCTTTTGTGAGTAATGTGATAATACCTCAAAGTTTTATCCTTTAGTGGTCACAAGACTGGAACCTCAGGTTTAAGGCAGCACTTATGTCTCATCACAAAGTGGCAAACAAAACTGACATTTAGCCGACAATCCTTGCAAAACCTAGAGTTTTATCTGTGATCTCTCTCTTTCAGTAGTACCCAATTTAAACGCGAGATTTTGGAAACCAGATCTACATTTAGTGGGAACTGTCAGGTCGGGTAGAAAAGGAGGTGGGTCAGGCAGCAGGTAAACAAAGGCAGAATAAAGGGAGCAGTCGGGTGTAGAATAAAATCTTGCGGGAGCGGGACTAAAAAATTTGTACCGTGCAGATCTTTAAATGAGACAACATATACAGTAAAAAAAGCCAAAAAAGTTGGAAATATATATATATAATTAATTACCAATTTTCACAGAATTTGCTATAATATTTAATCTTCTGGAGTAAGTCGTATTTATTTTAGTTTGCCTGAAATAAAAACAGTTTTTGTTATCCTTTTAAGGTCAAAATTATTAGCCGTCTTAGGATTTTTTTTCTCGAATGTCTACAGAACAAACCACTGTTCTCCAATAACTTGCCTAATTAACCTAACTTGCCTAGTTTATCCTTTAAAGGGCACTTTAAAATGAAAAACTAGTATCTTGTAATCTACAGTAACTAGTAAAATATTATCTACTGTCATCATGGCAAAGACTAAATAAATGAATTACTAGGGATTAGCTTATAAAAAACATTGTGTTTAAAAATGTGTTAAAAGCACTTGGGAATTATTTAAAAAATAAGAACATTCTTACAGGAGGGCGAATAGTTTTGACTTCAACTGTACGCAAGAAAGCAAATTAATCGCTATACAGCAGTGAATGGTAGTGTAAATGTGGTGAATTGTAGTGTAAATCTTTCACACTCACAGGTGCATTGCTTCTGCAGTCATCTTTTCTGATGGTGGTTCTGATGGCGACTCTTTTGCAGGTTTTACCATCTTCTTTGCCTACACACACACACACACACACACACACACACACACACACACACACACACACACACACACACACACACACACACACACACACACACAAAACGTGAAAAAATATGACTTGCATATAAATATGTGCATAATTCACCCGCAAGTGTCACATGTTTTTCTAATGCTGTATGCCTGAAAATGAGTACTAAATTGTTCTGCTCATTGTATGTCCATCCATATAAAAGTAATTAATAGTAACTAAGATAAAGAAAAAACATTTTTAAAAGACTGCTTGTGACAATCGGTATATTCCAAGTCTCGCATTGAATTCATACTAAAACATTGCTATAAAGGCGCCATCTAAAGACGAATTTGCATACCTGAATCGGAAACATCTTTATTCAATAAATGTGCAAACAATATGTGCTCAAATGCGCTTAACTTAAAACACACACTTATTAATGATTCCTACTGTGTAGGACATTTTATTGTATTTTTACAGCACTGTTTTCAACAATTTACAGCAACTGCCCCTTTACAGTAACCTTACAATAATATATTGTATTGTATTGTATTGTTGTATTGTATTGTATTAAATAACATTAAATTACATAAAAATTGTATTTGTTTGACTTTCATTACACAAAATATGATGTTATATATAGTCTATAGCTATAATTTATACTTATTGGGGTTCCCATATGTCCTGGGGCCCCAAGTGGACGATTATTAGTTAAATCCGCCAATAGATTTAAGTATAGGACACTTAAATAAAATTTAAATTAATTTTAATACATTTTTTTTTTTTATAAAAGAATGTAATTAATTAATTGAATAATTTTTTTTCGCTAATTGGTGAAGTTTTTTCCTCGCCTGTCGCTACTGGCTTGCATGGTTCGGGATCTCTAGAGCTGCGTATTGATGGATTTGCTATTCTGTAGTGAATATTAAACCACACTGAACTAAGCTAAACTGAACTGAACTTAAACAGTAAAACCTGAACTACACTGTTTTAATTTACTATGATCTTCTATGTAAAGCTGCTTTGACAATCTACATTGTAAAAGTGCTATAGAAATAAAGGTGAATTGAATTAATTAATTTTAGTGGTATGAAAAAATAAAGGGCATACAGTAAAAGAACTTTTTGGGTGAACTATGCTTTAAATTCAACATGACAATATTGACAAGTTACCTTTTTAATGCACTATACCGTTGAAAAAAAAGTAATAAAAAAGAAATAAAAAATGTATGTAATTTACATAAAATGAAAACATTTTTGTAAAATAATGACATTAAAATTAAAATAAAAAAAATAGCTGTTTAACAAACTTGACAGCAACACCAAACATACACACACTAAACACAGCAGGCTCACAGACTATTATTTCAGCACACTGGGGGCTCCACTTGATTGACATGTTTAGTTACCACGGCAACATTTGTCTGACAATGATCAAGTGGCACCATTGAGAAGTGAACTTTTCACCCATAAGCAATTTTAGTTCATAAAACAATGTTCAAATGAAAGGTGTTTCAGTCTTTTGAGGTCAGTGTGTGTGTGTATGTGTGAATGTGTGTGTGTTCATTTTGACTGCTATTCCTGAGGTTGAATCAGAGGACAGGTTTTGAAGATTTATCATGGGGTTTCAACAGGAGATGAATCAACACTTCACAGCTGTGTGTTAGGGAGGAACAGCTGATGAGTGTGTTTGAAACGCAGTCATGTCTGTGTTTGTGTCTGAATGTTGCATGGATGTTCGAGAGTGAGGGTATTAAATATATAGCTAGCAGTTCTGAAGTTATTTACTCACCTTTATGTCATACAGTACATACAGTACATTGAAAATAATTATTCATTTTTGCAGGTCTGGAATGAATATAACTCTAAATACAGTTGAAGCCAGAATTATTCACCCTCCTGAATTATTAGCCGCCCTGTATATTTTTCCCCAATTTCTGTTTAACGGAGAGATTTTTTCAACACATTTCTAAACAGAATAGTTTTAGTAACTCATTTCTAATAACTGATTTATTTTATCTTTGCCATGATGACAGTACAGAATATTTGACGGTATATTTTTCAAGATACTAGTATTCAGCTTAAAGTGCCATTTAAAGGCTTTTAGGTTAATTATGCAGGTTAGGGTAATTAGGCAAGTCATTGTATAACAGTGGTTTGTTCGTGTTGTAAATGAGGGCGATGCCAACCCTCTTGTGCACCACCAGAGGGAACCATCGCCAGAATTCTGATTCGACTCACGGACTCAAAATCCCATAAGCCCTGCTACCTGGCACTGATTACGGTCCAGGTGCAACTCATCAGCTCTCGTGTATATATACCACACTCACGCTCCGGTTCGTTGCGAAGTCTTGATTTGCCTGGCTGTCATTTCTGAGCGTTCCATACTCCCTGCTTCGGACTGATCTGTGTTTCTGACCCTGTGCTTGTTCTACGATTACGAAAGACATCTGCCTGCCCCTGATCTCCAGCCTGTTATTCTGACCAGTAAGATATCTGCCTGCCTTTGAACTTTTGCCTGTCCCACGTTCTGTCTCCTGGATTGCCCCTTTGTGTTTGTTTGTATGTGTGCTCTTAATAAAGCTTGCAAATGGATTCAATGCCTTCTGACTCATCACAACAGAAGACTTCGCCACTACAGAATCCAGCAGCTTTAGCACAAGTCTCGACTGAACTTTCCGCTCAAGCCACTCAGTTAGCCACCCATCATCAACAACTCACCCATCTAACTTCTCTCACGGAGGAACTGGTGAGAGCTATGCAGCAACTCCGTCATCCGAATCCTGCAGTTACCCCGCCTGCTACCATGACAGCTTCTCAACCAGCGCATGTCTCCAATGCTCCGGCTACCGTAAGTCCCCGATTAGCTTTTCCTGAAAAGTTTGATGGGTCACCTTCTCGCTGCAAAGGCTTCTTATTGCAATGCAAACTATTTGTTAACCAACAACCTGCATTATATCCCACTGATTCTAGTCGGGTGGCTTTTGTATGCAACCTGTTAACGGGGAAAGCGCTGGAATGGGCTACAGCGATATGGAAGGAGGAGGAATGTAACTATCCCACATTTGAAACTTTTCTCAAGCAATTTCGGGAAGTGTTCGAGCACCCAGCAGATGGGAGAAGCCCCGGTGAGCAGTTACTTTCTCTTACACAGGGGCGTAACACAGCTGCAGAATACGCCTTGTCATTTCGCACTCTCGCCGCTCAAACTAACTGGGTTGAGGATACACTGAAGACACTATTCAGACGGGGTCTGAATACCAATCTACAATCTGAATTGGCTTGCCGTGACGAAGGAAAGAAATTGAATGAACTCATTGAACTTACCATCCGTCTTGATCATCTGATTCGCAGCCGTAGAAATCCTCGCACACAGCTCCATGTTTCAAGTGACACGCCCCCTGATGAACCCATGCAACTGGGTTTCACCCGTCTCACCCATGAAGAAAGAATGCATCGATTGCAAAATCATCTATGCCTGTACTGCGGTCAATCAGGGCACAGGAAATCCACCTGCAGCGTGCGACCTCAGACACCAGTTCAATCGGTGAGTCCTTCCCATGTTCCTGCACTTTTCAGTGTACTGATTCCTGTGATTATTAAATTTGATAAAAGAATGATTAATACTACGGCTCTTGTCGACTCTGGATCTGCCGGAAACTTTATATCTAAGAAATTTGCTTTATGTCACGAACTATCTCTCAGCTCATATGATTCCTGTCTTGCAGTGGAAACACTAGACGGTCGTCCTGTGGGTGAAGGACGCATCCGTATGATTACGAATAAGCTACAGTTACAAGTTGGTGTTCTACACATTGAAGAAATGCAATTCTACATTATTGATTCAGTTAATCATCCACTGGTGTTGGGACTGCCCTGGTTAAGGCGACATGACCCTCATATCTCCTGGAGGGACGGACAGATATTGCAGTGGAGTGAGTCATGCATGAAACAGTGCATCCAGCCCATTCACAAAATTCCATTACGAACCACCAATGTGTTACCTGAACTCGTTGATGAACTAATCCCCATTGAGTACCATGACTTACATGAAGCTTTTAGCAAACAAAAAGCTACTCAACTTCCCCCACATCGACCAAGTGATTGTGCTATTGAGTTAATTCCAGGTTCAAGTCCTCCAACGGGTCGAATATTCCCTCTGTCACAACCTGAGCACAAGGCAATGTCTGAATATATCGACGAAGAATTGGCCAAGGGTTTCATCCGACCTTCTACATCTCCTGCTTCAGCTGGATTCTTCTTTGTAAAGAAGAAAGATGGCAGTTTACGTCCCTGTATTGATTACCGAGGGCTCAATGAAATCACCGTAAAATTCCGCTATCCATTACCCCTCGTACCTCCTGCCCTGGAACAATTAAGAAAGGCTAGATATTATACCAAGCTTGATCTTCGCAGTGCATATAACCTTGTCAGAATCCGTGCTGGTGACGAGTGGAAGACCGCGTTTTCCACCACTAGGGGGCACTATGAGTACACGGTAATGCCCTTCGGCCTGTCAAACTGTCCATCCGTGTTCCAATCTTTTATGAACGATGTCTTTCGGGATATGCTGGATCGCTGGGTCATCATTTACATCGACGACATCCTCATATATTCAAACACGATGAAGGAACATGTTGAACATGTACGTATAGTGTTGCAACGCATGATTCAACATCGTCTGTACGCCAAATTAGAGAAGTGTGAATTTCACCAGACACAGATCGCCTTTTTGGGATACGTCATCAGTGCAGAAGGGATTACCATGGATGATACGAAGGTACAGGCAGTTCAACGATGGCCGTTACCCCAGAATCTCAAGGAGTTGCAGCGATTTCTAGGTTTTGCCAACTTCTATAGACGGTTTATCAGAGGCTTTAGTTCAATAGCCGCACCATTAACAGCCATGACCAAACGAAATTCCCACAAACTATCCTGGTCTTCTGAAGCACGCCAAGCATTTAGCGATCTGAAGACTCAATTCACCACAGCTCCTATTCTCC